TGATCACTTGATAGCTCTGGGATTTAAACAAGCTGGAACAAGGTTTCTATTCCTCACACAAAAATCAGCAGTGAGTGACAACACCCTGGGTGGTGTAGGGCACCGGCCACATACACACCAGAGGCCAGCGGGTCCTGAATTTGGTGGGGTTTCACTCAACGGTATTTCTGGGAACCGCAGCTTCTCGTATCTCCCCGTGCTTACCTGGCATCTTACTCACACCCCTGCCTCATGATGAGTACCTGCCGTCCCACGGACCCGCACTGTCACTGCCGTTCCTTGACACAGGGGCCACAGAAAGATTTTCCACAGCTATTCAATCCCTGCCCTCCCTCTCGCTAAACTTCAGAAAACCAAACACTATTTACTCCCAGCTGCCTGTCTAGGGGGATCCCATAACTCTATTTTCTTAAAAACTAGTAATCACAAACGGGATGCCTCGACTACTGAGCAAATTTCCATGCTGCAGATTTCAGGGACTCGGGTGCTCATGCATCAGGAGTGGCACAGTAAAGGGAGTGATAAATAAGACTAGAAATATTGCTAATATGCCTCATTTGCATTTAATATTATAATCTGAGACAGGAGCTGCTTTAAATTTACTATGAATTTCCCTGTGCCATAATAATTACTTTCTAGTATATTAATTAACCTCAGTAATTTGACTATAGTCCAACATGATGACCCAGTAGTCACTGGTTAGTCGCAGGTCAAGAAGAGCTAGTGTTTTCTAGCTTCCACAGAAGTCTGGTCAAACCTCTCAGAAGCAGAAGAAATGCAGACAGCCGCAGCAGTACAGTGCCTAAACCACTCTGAAATGTAGGAACTGTCTAAAATTTCTACTAGTCTGTGATGCTATCAGAGCTGGGGACCAGCCAGGCGTGTATATAAGCCTGGCCTTGGTGTGTATTTATTTTATGCAGCTAAGCACAACTAAAGCACCCAACTGCACCCAGAAGTTCTGACTTCAGGGTTAAGACATGTTGCGGTCGCAGATGTACTGACAGAAAGCTGAGCCTCCGAGCCAAAATAACTTCCCACACTCAAGTCTGTGGCAGAGTGATGACTTCAGTCGGCTCTCCCGAGGTGTGGCTAGCATCAGCCACCCTTCCTCTTAAAGACAGGAGCCGGGGAGCAGACCTGGCCCTAGCCAAAACTGGCAACCACAGGCAGGGAAACAGCCCTCTGTGTGTGGAGACGACACAAAGAAAAACATTCCCTGACTTTAGTGGAGGGTTTATCTCAGGGGAAGATTCCAAAAGAACATGGATTTGGTCCACTCCACTGCACCTTACACACACAGACACATCTTTTTTCTTTACCCTTCAAGGGGTGTTCAGGGGACCACTGCACGGTGAGCTGGCTGGGGTGGCCGTGGGGTCACGCAGCTCCCCTGGGCACGCCGGGAAGTGGCGCAGGGCCGGCAGCCAGCTGCAGCATTTCGCTCTTTGAACCCCTCAGCCACTCCGGAGCTGCAGCTACCCCAGATTTTTAGCAGAGACTTGTAACATTTTTGTTTCTCAGACTGCTCTGGAGTTGCCTGAAATAGGCACAAGTCTGGTGCAGAAGCGGCGAGCCAGGGCCAATCCTCCGCTTGATGTCAATCGGCAGCGACTGCCTGCCTTCAGGGGAACCACACTGGGACTGCCAGGTCCCCAGACCTTTTGGAAAACATATTTCTCTTTTCAGTGAGTGTATTCTGTTAGACAAGAAAATGAGTTGTGGTAGCAAATGGGATTTTCCCCAGAAGTTCTACTTCTACTTGGTTTTAAACCTTCCCTGTTTGCTGTCCTTTAGCCAAAGCCCTACTGCTGGAAGCACAGCGTTCCCACCAGCAGCAGGGCATCTCTGACACCAGCCAATACATCCCAGCTAGAGGGACAGAAGAACCTGTTTGGTTTTGTGTCAAACCGCAACCACCATGCAGATTAGAAAGATTTATGTAAACCCAGATGTCAGACCATGTCCTGTGCAGAAACAGGTCACAGGCTTTTGCTATTGTTTCTGCTGCTCTATTTTAAAATAAAAGTTTGGATGCCACGGTTTGGAGACCTATGCTCCATGTGCTCCTGTGATGGCTGGCAAAGAGATGCCCAACCAAAAAACAAACCACCTCAGCCAAAGCTTCAGAAACTTGCAGCTGCTGCTGGTGGTTCCCAAAGCCCAGCGCAGCACTGTCCCCACAGTGTCACAAAACACCTAAAGCAGCCAGAATACATGACTCAGCTGCTGCTTCTGCTCCACAGCCTTGGTGACCTACCTGTCCAAGTCGTCTGGTTAGTTAGGACGAAAGCTTTGCACTGGGAGTAGCTGTCACAGATCTCAATGGCTTCATTGACGTCAAACACGGAGAGGAGGCAGCCCTTGTGATGGTAAGATGGCCAGCATCTGTAGTTCTCATCAGGAATAAAAGCTTCAGGCACCCGTCTGTACTCTGCAAATAACCAGAGCAAAGCAATCGTTTTGAAAGCTCCAGCAAACTGTTTGTTTTTAACAGGCAAGGTTTATTATAACAGCTTACGAGCAGGATATATGATGGAAAAGGTGACAGGCTAGACTGTACCAGCCCCGGTTTACTGCAAAATGTGTTTATAGCTCTGCACCTTACTTTCCTTTTCCTTTCTTCCTTTCTTCTTCTCACCTTTTTCTCCAGAAAGCGTCTGTAAATAAACAGTCTGTGCACAAAACCCTTTCCCCTTCCCCACTGAGGAGGCGAGGCTTTGATTTTATTAGGAGTTTTACAGGAAGAATGTCCCATTGAATAAACAGCATCCACTTGAATGAACTGACTCACTGTCCTACTTCTTAACAGTGAGTGGGATTGTCGGGGTGAGACCCGGCCAGGCGTTCCCAGCCCTCCCTCTCCCTCAGAGGAGCATGCTATTTTCCTCCGGCCCCTTTAGAGTAGGAATAAAAGACAGGCTTTTAATTAAGCAAACTTTTTTTGCTTGCTCAGATTAGCACAAAAGGGGAGTCGCTTGACGGGCCTCCGACGAGAAGGAGCAAAATAAAGTCGAGGGAGCATGTCAGTGTGTTCCTCGCCCAGCGCCTTGGCGCTGCCCTGCCGATCACTCCTCTCCCTTGGCTGCCGTTCAGTCTCACTTGCCTTTATGAGCTGCCTCTTGTTCTCTGTTCACAGCTCCTCTCACTTTCCCAGCTGCTGACGGGGGCTTCTCTAACGAATGCATCAGCAAATTCAACTAATCATTTATAAACATGTCTATTTAGCGTCCAGACGCACAAATTGACAGCTCCCCCCCTCCCCGTCTCACCCCCGACATCCTATTCAAAAAAATAAATAACATTCTATATTTCTTCTAATTGTATCTGTTATGGAAACCAGAGCTGCCAGCCCTGACTCACAGCCTATTCTTAAGTCACTTTGGTTCAGGCATTTTCTGCCTGACACTGCAGATTCAGCCTGCTAATATTTCAGGCAGCACATTGTACACACACCACCGAGTCAGAGGCAAGCGCGTCTCCTACTCTAAACTGCCAGTATTTCAACTGGGAAAAGAAGAACACATCCACAAGTGCCCATTCACACCACACAGCCTGAAATATTGGGAAGCATCAAGTAAATGCATTCTTTTTTTAAGCCTGGCTCATTATAGGTATCATGAGAAACATTCACAAATAAGTTAAATCAGAGCTGGTCACATCTCACTTAAGCAAAGGCAAAAAAGTTTTCATTAATTCAGAAAATGCAGACTCGTGCACATGAAGAAAATAGCCAAACCAAAATGTAGTTTCATATTACAATCATTTCTCCATCAAAAATATATATACTTTTCTTCTGAAGAAAAGTCAGAGTGCAAATCAAACTGCTACTGGCTAGACAAGTCAAGTCCCTTTTACTCAGATTTCTGTATCGACTGTAGAGTGTAACAATAGCTGGATGCAACTGAACAATTCTCTCCTATCCCTGCGTGGTAACCGCTCAGTACTGATCTGTACTTCACAGCCAAGGTTGGTAAAACGGGGCGTGCAAATGAGATGCCAAAAACTCAATTCACTGCCACCAGCCGCACATTCAACTCTCCGTATCGGTGTGCGTGCCGTGTTGGCTGGCTGTAACACGCGACTGCTCACAGCTGCTCTGTGCACCACTACAGAAGTGCCACCTAACGCTGCACCATGCCGAAGCCGACGACGCAGGGGACGTTCACAGAAGGATGGCACTCGTTGCAGCAGAAGATGAAGCACCTGCCCGATCCTGTCAGTGGGGAGCATGTCCCAGCCCTTCCCCGCGGGCACTGCCAGGGCCAGGAGGGAGCTGCAGCATCCCTTGGCATGCCGTCAGGGCACTAAGCAGAGCAGCCCCACATCATGTCATGTATTTTTCTCCATGCAAGGCAGCAGCCCACCTGGAAGGCCCTTATTTTGAACTATTGTTTGATTTTTAAACTCTTCTGCACACAGATCTGCCTCTTAACGGGCCTATAGCACGCACTTACTTCTCAAGGCTGTTCCCGTCACAGCTGTCAGGGACTAGGCCCTCTGCTGATGTAAACAGGTTTCAAGCGAGCAGCAGTGATTTACGTGACCTGAGGCTCTGTCAGAGACAGGAGATAAAGTTCTTCCTTTCCACTGACTCTTTCAAGGTGACCGAGCCTGGTAAATCACTTGGGCAGCTCGGACACGCTGACTGACAGAGCTGGGCCAGCAATAACTGCGACGGTGATGCCGAGGTCCCGGCTTCTGGCTGGCAGAGAAGATGGAAACGTCCACACCGGTACCGAGCGTGGCCTTGGCGTGTGACAGAGCCCTGTGGCTGTCCCTCCTCTCCTTGCTGCTCTCAGTTCCTACATGAGGGAGGCCACCACCATCTGCAACAACCTCACGCACTTGTGGGAACAGGGTAGCGTAACAGGTACCCAACAGCATAACCCACACACAAAGAGCAGTCTCCTCGGCTGGGTGATCACCAAGCACCAGACAGGTGAAAATACAGACAGTGGAGTCTAAGTGAAAGCACAGAGGCACATGGGGTCTGCAAAGCTCCCCCGAAATGGCACAGACTGCTAAGTGCCTGCAATCTGGGGATTGGAGCCTCCTGCCTACGCTGACTGAGGGGAGGGGAGTGGGATGCAGCAAGGAAGAAAGGCAGGAAGGCAGCCCCTCTCCTCGTCTATGTGGCAGGCAGATGGGATGGTTGCCCAGGAGCAATTTCTCCTGGGAGCATCCTGATGGGAAGCCAGACACGAGGAGTAGAGTGGGACACGCAATGGCACTGCACTCCGGCTCACACTCCCAAACCAGCCAGGTGCTCCCGCCACCCCAGAAAGCCAACACGGGATCTCGTCTTAAACTAGTACAGTTGGAAATGATCAGAAACTCCCTGCAACACTAACCAAGTACCAGTCCGAGGAAACCACGTTTTTCTCCAAAACTCACTTATCTTGAGCAGAGCAAGGGAGCTGCCTTCCCCATTTGCACGGCGAAGGCAAATATCCCTGGAATCTCTTGTTTACACAGCGACAAATTAGGGAGCTGACCCCTTAGCCCTTATTTGTACAAGTTGTGAAGAAATGGTCTCCTCTCACATGAACTGGAAGGGCACTCCTGAAGGATGCCCATCCATCGAGACATGCCACGGCAATGACATCAGCCCCAGCCCACAGGAGAGCTGGGCTTACCCTACCTCTCTAAATGATCATCTTGGTCACTGCAGTGCAGCTCCTTGCTCAATTAAGCAATACTCCATTGATTTAAAGACAGCTCCAGCTCAGGTTTTTGTCTCGCTAAGACCTGAAACTTGCTTAAATGGAGTCCGTGGAATTTGAAGGCTCACGGCAGTAAATCACATCATAAAAAGGTCAAAGTTCTGGTTGATTTCCAGACTAATGGTGTTTAAAACCAATAAATACTTGCCTAATACTATAAATGCAGCCATAAATTTACACTTTTGCATACATACACGTAGCTTGGCACAGAGTACATAAAGTGTATCAAGGTAATGACAAGGAATAGATCAGAGAAACGCAAGACACTCTTACCAGTATCACAACAGAAAAAGAATCCTTTTCTCCGTCAACCGATTTTTGTGAGGATTGAAGCAATTAATGTAATGCATTAAGCCTGATCTTGCTGTCACTTATGACAGATTTACTCCAGCTTCGCCTACGGGAGCTGAGTTGCTGCTCACAGCTATACAAATAAATCCCACTAGGAAACACTTGTCCTGCCCTGTAAACATTTTGCTATGCTGAATATGGGCAATCTTTAAAAGTTTTGGCTTGTGATATTTTTAATGGGTTTAAAATATTTTGAATGGTTTTAAATTATTTTTAATAGTTTGATCTAGTCAATCAAAATACACAGTTTCAACCAGGCCAAACTCTTCTTAGAAGTTTCTTACAGCTCCTGCCAGCCCCTACAGCAGCCACAGTGAAATTCAAACCAAGGACCTTCTCAGGATGGGTAGGAAAGGCATCTTTAAAACCAACCTGCAGCATTACTGACCAAGGCAAGAGGTACAGGAGAAAAGGCAATGCTTTAAAACCTCCTTCTAAATTTTTTCCATCAAAAATCACCTGCGTTGTCCCAAAGCTGACTACATTCTATAAACATACTCATTTTCACTGTACTAGACTGAATCATATAAATAACTCCACAAGTATATAATAAACTATGTGAAACCGCCTGTGGTTTCCCCCTTTTAGCTTGTTTGAATCACCCTAAATCTGACTTTAATCAGTCCTAATGACCATTTATTTCAGCCACAGCAGCCAGATTGCATTTTTACTACCAACTGCAGCTACTCGCTGGAAATCTGCCCAGTTTTCTTTCTAGTTATCACCTGCCAATACACCATGGGTCAATGAGACTGGCGCAGCAATGTTCATCCTTGAGAGAGAAATCATGTTGCTCCTTTGCCTCCCTCCTCCTCCACCCTTGAGAGGAACACTGTCGGTCAAATCTGGATTTGCTTTTAATTGCTTTGCTTACAAGTAAGCAGAAAGAGCCTGATCTTGCCAATCTCAGCAGAAAGTAGTATTGAGCAGTGTTTTGCTCGACAAGCAGCCCCCGCCGATTCCCAGGGAGCTTAAGGAGAACAGAATCAGATCCTAAATAGACAATAACACACTTATGTTTTTCAGTACGCTTCATTTTATGCTGAAATTCTCCTCATGCTTCAATACCTCGCATTCAGACAGGCTTCTGAGACGGAGCCTTGCAAAGCCGTATGCGCAGTGGCACTACGGAAAGCTGGGTTTTGGTACGTCTGAGAAAATGGCATGCTAGGCGTATCCCGCGTGCCTCTGCTTTCAATCAGCTCTGACGAATCCCAACTGTTTGGAAGGACAGACAGGCCTGGCAGGACAGTGGTTTGCCGGCAGGCCGCGAGATAGCCCTGCTTCTCTGGCGAGTATTTTTGTCCTTTGGCTGTTCCACGCGCGCAGGCTGGAAGCGAAGTAAGGCTTCCCTCTCTCTGTGTGCTTCTATTGTGCTTCCAGTCGAGCCATATTTAAATCGGTATGCAGGCTGCCACCAAACACAAATAAATAGAAGAACAACATGTTCCCTTACTTTTTATTCCCGTTAACGTGACACAGCTGGAGTGGTTTTTCCTGCCTCGTGCCCCACAGCCCAGGACCACTCACCGGGCTGCGGAGCTGCTCTGTACCCACGGCCACCGCTGCGGTGGACACCGACCTACTGGGGGCAACTAGCCCAAACGAGTGCCGCGGGTGCTCGCGAGCTGCATCTGGCCCACTCGCTCATGAAAACGGTGACGCTGGCGACGGACGAGTCAAAAGGATCATGTCCGCGGGGTGTTTAAGCTTAAAGGCAGATGCCTCCAGGATTTGTAAAAGACACTTTTGTGCCCAAGCTTGCAGCCCCTTTGCCCCTCAGCTGCCCACAAAGCAGCCCTGACGTCCTCGAGAAAGAAACGCCGGACGCACACGTGCCAGATAGAGCAGGAATCCAGGCTGCAGGACCGGGCTGCAGTACGCCACTGGCCCAGCCTTCACGCACCTTCAGCGGCGTATTTTTTGCCTTAGCACCGTGGCCTGCCACAGGACACACAAAATGCCTCAAAACATTGCAGCGACCTTGCAAAATTTCTGTCTCGCACAAAAACACACACACTGCACAATTTCAACAATTCTTGGGTGGATTTACAGTTTCCTAAGCAGGTTGCTATAGTGACCCTGCAGAATATTATTGCAAAACACTGTTGTACTGTAAATGTTTACATACAGCATAATCCTGCCAAATTGTCTTAAGACAAAGGAAAACATGATGTGTCTTTGCTTTATGTCCAGCCTTCCAGCTTTTTTAGCACTGAGAATGTACTTTCAACTAACGGCAGCAGCTAACTATGCCTTTCTGCAGCCTTGCAAACCCTCAGGCCCAATAATGGGTCATCTATTAGCTTTAATGAATAACAAAGCTATCGGATTTACTAGTGTTAGCTGATTTCACGCATTTCTGAGTAAATTCTGAGTTAACTGAAGGGCTGGGGCTTAGCTCAAGGGCCAAACATCCAGTTGGTACAAATCAGTGTCACTTGATCGAAGTAATAAAAATGTGGATACTGGGGCAGGACTTTACTGATGAACATCAGTGGATTTTTTTATGGTCGTCTTAATCTGGACAATTAATAGAATGATTTAATCGTTTTTAGATAACGTATGTCAGAAGAAATACATTGTTCCTGGTTTAATTCACATTCTTCTGGATTCCAGCAAAAGAGACAAACAGTCAATGGAATATAAAAGTATTTGTTCATGGTGTTGTTTTAAACACTGTAGCGCTCCTGTATCAACATTAACAGTAGTGTGATTTATGATTACAGAACACATACATAGCTATCGAATGTCTGCTAAAGACACTAAAGCAAAGTCCAGAGCATAATATAATTTACAGCACTATAAAATCTTTTACAACTGAAGCACAGTGAAAGCTTAATATCCAAGACCTTCTGTAATATGACTATGTCATCTTGTTAAACTTTATTTATGGGAACACAAGGGTTGACAAGAACTTTCTACATGTCACTCCCCTACTGACTATCAATATCACCTTTCTCACTTTGTGGTGTTCATAAGAGGAGGTCTTTTCCCATCAAAAACATAAGTTCAGATAGATAACAGACTGTTTCCTCAAAGTTTATGTTTTAGTTATGGCTTTAGATCACGTGCCCAAGATCATGATCTCTTCTTTCCTCGTATGAATTTACAATGCTCTATCCAAGACAGAGAATTCAAAGCATTTAGACCCAAGACAAATTCTGAAGCACCATCACCTGATCCTTATGTGGTTTCTATTCCCAAAAAAGAATACAAAAAAAGAAAACCCAAACCTTACAATTCTTGTATCTGAATTCTCCTCTAGTTCTGCTTTTAGGATTTCAGAATAGATCACACACCAGAAAGGCCTTATTTTGCCACAACTCTTGAGATGCCAGAGGAGATTGGTATTGTTAATTCTTGTCATTTTATGCTGTTTGAGAGCACAAATCCTGGTAACCAAGTCACCCTGTGAGATTTCCATCATCTGGAACACAATCAACGTGAATTTGTGCCTGACCAATCTTGGCACACTGGTGTACAAATGTAAAGCTCTGATTAACTCCAATCCAGCCTGAGAACCAAACCACCATCTCTGCTTTTATCTTCACCTAGCAGCGCACTGCAAAACACTCCCCATGAACTTTCATTATGCTGTACAGCAAGGCAGAAAAGGCTTAAAAAAAAAATCTGAAAGATTAAAAATATTTTTTCTTTGCTTTCAGAGAGTAACACCATGCCCTCCTGGACCACAGTCAGGGCCAAAGCAGGAACCTCAGCCGACAGCTTCAGAAAGTATCACGGTTGTCCCTTTTCACCTATCTCTCCCCACCCCACCCTCCCGGAGTCACACAAAGTATTCCACCCCGGCAGCTGTTCAGCCCTGGTTTCAGAGGTCAGGACGCCAGCTCAGCTGGGAACATCCTGCCAGCAGAAGAGGTTGATCACTTGGACACAGTCCTTCCCAGTGCCACTGTCACCCTCTCCTGCAACTTCATCGCGCCACAGAAGAATTGCTCACTGCATAATCTCTGGATAATTTCTAATTAATAATTTATAATTCCATAATCTCTGGCTGAGAACATTAAAACTTAATTCTAGTGTGGCATTACCAGTCAAATACTGGCTGAGGAAGGAATGTGTCCAGAATAAAAGTGATACAAATGAGTAGGTAGGTGCATTTTTACCCTCAATTTATAACTTCTTCACGCTTTTCTGGCACTGAAAGGGAGCCTTAAAATAGAAATAACTTACAACCCCTTTTCTGTTTGGTTAAAGCAGCCTTAGAACAAACAAGAAACAGGCCTGCACATCTTAAAGGCATGGCAGCTAAGTCTGAAAGCACATCTCATCTAAGTGTCATTTCCACCAAGATATCTATTCCTCAGGCTTGCCATTGGTTGAGAACATTTTCCTATCAAGGAACTCAATATAACACTCATGGTCTTAAATGTAGATTGCTGAGTATGTTACACAAAGCATCTACAGATTTTCAACATCTTTGTCAATGCCGTAGAGTGCCCAAGTCCATAAGCGGTGTCCTACAGATAAAAAGGGCTTCTTGCACAGAAGGGTAATACTCACCGTGAACATGAGCAGCAGATTCTGAGTTATATTATCCAGGTCTCTACGGCATTAAACTAACACAAAAATGGGTAATTATTACAGTAGCCAAATACACATGGAGCTCTGCTCCATATTAGTAGAAACTTGCACTGTTACATTTACTACCGCTGCCCTAAGCTTCTCTCCCTGAGAATCTTTATAACATGACAGACCTCTCAAATTCAAAACTTCATCTTGTCCCGATATGGCAGTTAAATCTGGAATCAACCAGCATCACAGTAAAACTTCAGCCCTCCTGGCACTTCTTCAACAAAGGACGTGTTTGTACTATTGATTGTACTGCTGAAAATAATTTCGCTGTGTTGACAGCCATCACTCAGCACAGACTGTGATGAAAAGCTGAAAATTAGAAAGTTAAATGAACACCTGCAACAATTTTCCTGCCAATTTTACAACAAAATAAATATTGAATTATTCTGATAAGTGGGTCAAATTCATCCCTGGTGTCATGGCCCTTTGAGGTTAAGAGCGCTACAACAGGAATGAATTTGGCTCCTGTGTCTCTTTCACAGAGCAAACGCTTCACTGAACTTTGCAAACCCCCTGTGCCAACATTCATCTTCATTTAGAACCCATCTTTCCCTCTTCACAGAGCTTTTGCAGCAAAGCCATAATTTTCCCATCAACTTGCAATTATGTTGACAGTTTGACATTAATATTGTACGTACACAAAAATAATTTGCAAAACAGCTTTTTCAATTGTTAGGCTTAACAATCATTTCCATCACACATAATCTTCTTCGACGTGTTTAATTGCACAAGCTATCCTTCCGGGAAGAGTATGCATCCCTCTGCATCACAGCTGCTTGCAGAGCATTTTACATACCTGTGGTGCCACAGAGATTTTATGAAAAAGATACTATTATGCAGCTTTGTTTTCATCCTGTCCTTTTTTCCCCCTTTTTTTTATTCTATGACTAGCAGACAGCTGTGGGACATACTATTTTTCTCTTGCAAAGCAAGCAAAACTTGTATTCCTTCAACCTACAAGTGCTTAGATAACAAGAAATTCCTGTAAGTCCCAGGAAACTCATGGAGGGTTACAGCATCTTGATTAGATTCCCCCCAGCTCATGTTTGGTGAGGCGCTGATACTCCAGCAGCAGAGAGGTGTGTGGACGTGATGAAAAAACATTTTCTGCAAACCCGCCATGGAGAGCAACGCTCCGCTGGATTTCCTTATCCCTGTTACAGCCTGCTCACACGCACGGATGTGCAGGTACGTGAGCTTAGGGCAAAGAGCTTCCGAAGGCTCCCAGGAAGCAAAAAGCAGACAACAGATTATCACGTGCATGACTTCAGGGGCCACTGAGCCCCGTTTTCTGCACATCTGCCCCTTTGAACCTCAACATAAAGACGTTGTCTCTGATTTTAAGTTTTGAGAAAGACCACTTTACCAGCTTTCGGCATCCGGGTCGTGTTCTGTAGGTACTCTCCACTCTTATACAGATTCAGAACTCTCTCGAGCTGAGCGGCCGTCTCATCTATCCCCCAGTGAAGTTCTCCTTTAAAAGCACAGAAAAAGAATGAGTCAGATGAAGAGCAACCCGCTCAGAACAAAACGAGGTTGCATGCAAATAAAGCCCTAAGCACCAGAGCCCAGCAGTTGCTCTACAGTGGTGCTGTGATGTGGACATGAAGCCAGGGAGTTACTACAAATTGGTTTCACACCTGACACGAGCCAGACCTGTCAAAGGCTGCCTTGACCGGCTCGGAACCCCAGGCCTGCAGACCGAAAACACTGGGGCAAGCTCCCCACTGACAAACTTTAGCCAATGTGAAGAACTCCAAAGGCTTTGCTTGTTAATTAGCGATAGACCAACATCATTAAAGTCCACACTGAATACACACAGTACAAGATATAAAACCCCAGAATGATGCACCAAACAATGCTCATATCAGATTTACAGGCACATGCAACTACTCTTGTCCCAAAGGTAATTAGTAAAGATCTATGGTCATGTCACTTGCCTCTGGCTTCTGAGCTATAAAAGCACCTCTGCTACCACTGACAATGGGAAAGTATCCTGGTTTTATCCCTAAAATTCCCCTTGCCGGAGACAGGGGTTTTTACAAATCCCACAAGGAATTGCGTTCTGATGCAGTTCACCCCAGCAAACTATTGCAGCGAACATAAAAGCAGCATCTCCCACATCCCCAGTGTGATAGTCACTCTAAAACATGAAAGACTTGGCATTACCAAGTGTATTGTGATTACCTGTTGCATTGACTATCTTATCCAGTAATGGTCTCAACGAGGATGGAGCACTGTGTGGAAGAAGATATGTAAAAAAAAACCTGCAATGGAAAACAACCCATATTGAAAAATTAAAAAAAAAATTTACAAATGTCTAGTAACTACTGAACAACATAAGGAATAAAATTCGAAATGCTTATAAGCCACTGACCTATTCAGGAAATATAAACATATTCTATAGTCAAATAAATATGTCGCTGAGACTGTTCACACAGCTGCCTGGCATACCTAGACCACACTGTTATATACAAGGCTGCCTTGTAACTACGTGTAAATGTTCCATTAATACAGAAATTTGCTATGAAGCCCCGTGGATTGTGACTATTTGCAAAGCTGTGTGTACTTTAACAAACTAAAAGGATGCCATCAACCCAGAAGTCTTGGGGTTTCTTTCAAACCTTGAAAGTAAATAAATCAAATTTCTGCTCATTTCAGATAATTGACTGTTATTTTCTTTTGTTCATGTCAAATGACTATTATCTTTTCTACAGGTTCCTTAAACTTTCAAATTAATTGCTAGGCGAAAGCCACCTTCTATTTTTTTGATGCCACTGCGATTCAGAATGTCTTCTCTGTTCTCATCATTTATCTAAATTCAAGATGCATTCATGTAGATGGATGTATATTCTCCATTTTAACATTTTTAAGTACAAAAGAAAAAACAATATGCCTTTACCACTACTTGAAGTACGCTTAATTTTCACCTTGTTTCATTATATTTCTATTACTCTGACAATATTACTACGCACTGCAAACCCAGTATCACAGCAACCTAAGAGGGAGATGGACAGTTCAGGATCTGACAGTATAAAGAGAGCTATCAGGCATAAATATTAGTGAATGAGCAGAACTGGAATACAATTGGGAAATTGCCCTGCTTTACATCTAACATGCAAAGCAAACACTTTTTCATGGATGATTCATTTACAGAGACCACGTTGTCAGGCAGAAACCTCCAGGGACTCATGCGCAGGATGAGATGACTAGCAGGCATCTCACATAAGCATAAATTAAAAAATTAAGCTAGTGATAGCAAAAATTGATCACAGACACAGGTTCTATAGAGCTGACATATTCCACTTACACAATGAGTACTTCCTTGTGATTTTAACTCCCTTTTTCATCCCTTACAAAAACAGTACTTACGATTTTCCCAAGCAGGATTGTCCCCAGGGAGGTTTTCTCAGCAATGAGTATGAAACAGCTCATGTAAGTACACACAGATATCTGAAGGGCAGCATGACATTTGTAATTAATAATTTGCCTGCTAAGTTTTTACCTCACTTTTGGCTTAGGGATTTTCTATAAAGCAGAGTCCAACGGATTGTGAAGAGTTTGTTGCAAAAATTCCTTAGCTGTCATTTACTGTGCTAAACGCCAGACGGATGCAAGTCACGGAGGTTATTGCTTTTGCGTGGCTATAGAAATGCACGACTTGTTCCAATGCAAACACCCACACGTGAAATTCTGGCACGTAGAGACATTGGTGCTTCCACAACTTAATTGCAGGAACATTTGTTATTGATCGATTGCAGCGCCAGTAGCATCCTTTGTGATCGGCGTAACAAGCGTTGCCAGATCCTTCTACATTTGTTCCTACAGCCTTTTTTTTCCCCCCTTTCATTTTTTAGTTCTTGAGAACTCTCTGATCTTAATTTAAGACTTGTCAGTGATGGACAAGTCATACTGACCATTGGTTAACAGTGCAACATATTAATTATCCTTACTTTTAAAACTGTCCGTTGCTTTGAAAATTGTTCCTCCAAACATTAGAAGAAAAACCCAGAGAGGTACACTTGTGACAGAAGGTAACCATCTCACAGTCAAGACAGGCCAGTTCTTGCACAGTTGAGTATTTTCCAAGGTGTTTTCTCTCTTTTAATTATTTACCTCATAAAGAAACCAGCTAGATAGGGTCATTGTGCTTCCAAGGCTACAGCCTGCTATATTTTAAAATTACAAGGGTTTTATGCATTGTTTGACATTTTGCTGCTTTCAACTTCTAGCTAAGAACACCAGCAACCCTTTCCTGAGGGAACTCTCTAACTGTGCACCCATGAAAATACAAAATGTAGTAGCCCATACCTAACGAACTGAAGATCTACCCTTCTGGGACAAGTGCACAGAGTTTGCCGCTAATGCTCTAGCGTGGGTGGTCAGAGCCTGCTACGGCCTGAATCTGCTGTTGAACAAAAACCCCCTGTCTCTGTAGAATTCAGAAAAGCAGGGGCTTCAAAGGCAGTGTGAGGAACTGTAACAGAAAGAGTGCTTCCTCCAGCGATACCAGCAACCTGCCGCAAGCCCCTCACGCCACGGACACATCCCCTCTTACGACCCAGATAGACGGGTTCCTATGAAAGGTTTCTTAGCCAGACTAGTAAAACAGGCTTAACCAAAAGCTAGCCAGCTAAGCAGGATCTTTAAGCCAAGCAAATGGAAATGGAAAATTTTGCAGGACACACTAAAAAGTGCACTGCACAACTGCAGATGGCTGTCATGTGGTGCAGCCCATTTCAGTGTGGTCAGCTAATGCAACACACATGCTGGCGAGCGCCTTGGGACCGAAGCAGAAGAGTCTCTTTGGAGCAGCCTCTCCTCGCTGTGGTCTGGCAGGCAGTGAATGGCATGATACTTGTGAGGCAAGCCTAAGAAATGAGCACACCATTATGGCATCACTTCGAGATCCTCAAATCTGGATCAGACAAGGCGGGGTGGCAGGAAGGGTGCGGCACTGAGCATCGGGTATTGGCTTCCCGGAAAGCAGCGGCATGGCTCCCCTAGCATCCCAACCCAGCCCTATGAGGAGACCGATGGCCAACAGGGAAGAGCCGAGACCATAAACACAAAGCAGTTGCCCAGGAGGACTCCACTGTAAATCCAGAGAAACCTTTAAAATCAAATTTGGAAGATGGATGATGGATCGGCTGAATGCTTTCTTCAGGGTGGCTGACTGGTCTGGTGTGGCCGCTCACCTCCATGTCCCCCGTCACAGGCATGGATCTGCCACAAAGCAGGAGCAGCACTGGGAGCCAGTCCCCTAGCGCCTGCCCACATAGAGACCAGGGGCTGGGAGGGGAGGGGAGGCCCAAAGGGAACACCCCTTGTTTTCAAAGGTTTGGTATTTCGCCCCAGACCGTCAGCAACCGAGGGTGCTCTTTGTGGCCCTGTGGCTGCACCTGCACTGTTATCGTCCCACGAGACAGGATCCAGTGAGGCAGGGGGCTGAGGACGAGAGCCACCCCATTCCTCAGTCGGTGGGGGAGAATGCATGATGACCCCTCTTAACGCCCACTGAAGAGCTGGCGGAATTGTCTCACCACAGAGCCAACGGGCCCCCACCTCCACAGGCACCTCTGTGTCACTCCTATGGAAATCTCCACTTGTGTGAAGAGCTCAGTGGAATGAAACCAACGTAAAATTAGACTAAAAGCGGTGAATCACACTCAAAGTATGCAAAACATTTCCAAAGTTATAAATGCTACGTATTTTCACAAATTAAACCATTCATGGTTTCACTTACTCTTGGGTAATGTTCTGAGACAATACATACATGACGATAACTATAAAGGATGCTGGAGACTTTCTGCCCACCTTCACTTCTCTGTTACCTTATCCAATCACATACCTGTAGGCGTTGTAGAGATTCCTCTTTTCGTTCATATTCTGACACCGTCCCTCAACCGAACAGGGCAGGGTGAAGTTCCTCGCGGGGAATTCCATGAAACAGTCGCTGTTACTGGTGCAAGAGCTCTCCTCGATGCTGGCGTCGTCCAGATCTGTCACCTTAAGCTCCCCATCCACGATCACGAACTGCCGAGGGCGAAAATCCAATAATGTGACGGAGCCGAGAGGAGAGTGAGCCAAATAATGGAGAAGCCTAACTAAGCTGAGACATATCTGAAATGCAAAAACACGGGTACCTTGAGTTATTTTCTCAGTACAAAGCATATAAATGAAACCACTTTAGCTGAAGATATATTCGTAAATATATGACTTTATATAAGCATTATAACTTATCCTCAAAACTGAATGTTGTAACCAAGGTATTTTTCATAGGATTAACATAGTTGATTGTAAAACCCTTAGGGACTTGAAATAAAAATAAGCTGCTTTACCAGTGCTTTCCCACACTATTCTTGAAGCAGGGCTCATTGTTGCTCTTCTTACTTTTAACAGAAATAAAAGCATTAAGCTTTAATAACACATTACGCACAGGCCTTGACCACGCAGCCTGATTCTGCTCTTTTACAAACCCCAGGTCTGGAAATTTTGGCTGGACCACTCTGTGCCCACGCCTGGAGCTCCAGCTGCAGACGGTGTCTGTATTTTTTCCACTGGTTCCTCTTATGTTTGCCTTTTTCCAGGAGAGAAGGAAGCAAATTCCCAGAAAGAGGAGCTCCACAGCTCCTCTGTAACTCTTCCCCGTGCCTCAGGGTAAGCATTATACATCCATCTGCCTTGGTGCCACCACTGTGCCGTCTACTCATGTGCCACTTTGAGGCTGGGGTGGGAGCTCTCTGCTGATGCTGCACTTTCCAATTGCACGTTAGAAACCCGAGTAACTACTACTAGACAGCAAACTCTATGAACATTGAACTTGGCCCCCTTTACCAAAGTACTGTTTTCAATTCATGCATACCTTTAGAGTCCACTATGTAACATATTAATGCAAACGTAGCATTAATATGAATGCAGTTAAATACTGGAATTTTTATTCTATGTGTTAAATTAATAACAGGTCTTATTCAGTCTAGCAAGCTTTTTATTGTTTCTATATAATCTTTGGTTTCTGTTAAAATACACTGTTAAGGCCACGTGCATTGAAGCAGTCAAATCCAAATTCAGTCTCGGGGCATAAACAGCATCCTCAGGGGAGGGAGCACCTAAAGCCATCCTTCGTAAGACAGCTGAGCCTGCCCGAAGTTGTCCCTCACAGACCTTTCACCTGTGGGACATGAGGACTACCTCACGCATCTAGAATCACCAGGCTACAACATTTTTATCTTACAGGATACCACAGTTCACATGGACATGCCTGTAGGTGTAGATGAACACAGGCCTGGTTATGGGATGCCACAGTTGAGCACCCACCCTTTCCTCCCTCTGGAAGGACACAGGATTCATGTGTATGCTATCCTGCCACACGCAAGATCTAATTATTACTAGGGGCTACTTTTTATATACAAAGGCATATCCAGCTCTAACTAACCTATAAAACACGTATCTTCAATTGCCTCAACCCGGAATTTAGCTTGAATAAAAACACAGGCTGTCATCTGAAATTACTGCCCTGCTCCTGCACTGGCAACCTGTGACCAGGCTGAGCCCCGACGGGCTGCTGCCCGGCATACCTGCTGCCAGGCTGGCACTGCAAATGCCCCTGTATCACAAGCTTTAGGCACACAGATGAAGGCTTTGCTCTGCACCACGCACCCCTGCGTTTAGATCTAGCGAGCAAGCTTACTGCCACGTCCTTCAGCACAAGGAAAGCATTTGTAGCAGTAAGGTCAAATATTTATGCAGCCGTTTCCAGGACTGGACCACAAACAAGTCTCATGAATCAAGAAGACATGGTTTTATTTCCTCCTTCTCTGTGGCAGTTGCATCCTAGACAAGCTAATGAGCATGATGTTACCTAAGGCATCGTTACAGCGGTCACAGGAATGTTTCATCTGTAATTCCACCTCTGTGAATCAGCTTAGCACCTTCATCTAATTCTCCTTCATCTCCCTTTGCAACTGCTCGCTTGGAAATATCCATGCTGGGAGGAAACCTTCCTGTTCATTCCACGTAATCTAACATATCTCTTGGTCCTTTAGTTTGTACATAGCTGCCATCACAGTCTGTTATTTGCATCCCCTGGATGAGATGTGCAGAAGACATGTCCTGTATTTCGGGAGCCGTGGCGAGTACCTCTACTGCTTATGAAGACCATACTTCTTTCAGGAAAAGGGAGCTGAAGCTTAGTGCAGGGAACACACTTGCTCCATCTATTTTAGTAAAATAAACTCTGCCAGAGAACATTTCTGGGCACAGACACTTAATCCCACACACACACTCGCTAGCAGGGGGTCTGGCCCAGGTCTGACCAGGACGAAGGTGCTGTCTGTCACAGTCCCTAGATGCGATCCTTGGCACGGCCAAGGGACCTTTCCTGACGGGCATCTGCCTGCAGGCTTCCACTTTCAGAAAGTGCAAGCAGTCCACTGTACAGAACTGCACTGCCTGCACCTTGCTGGTTCATCTCCCACATCAGCCAAACACACTTTTAATTTTCTGGTGCAGAGGTAGCCATGCAACCCAAAGCGTTTTAGATGAAGACTGCCGCTGCCCTGCCACGTCTTAGGGAGTTAACCTCAGCCAGCGACACATCCCAATATACACTGAGCGAGACAGCACTGTCTTGATCAAAGCATTGCTGCAGTCTGGCTTCATTTTGGACAAATTAAGTGCGACCTTCGTGGTCCTGGTAAATTGCCAACGCAGTGGACAGCCCACGTTTGAGATTTGTGTACATTTATTTCACTTTTCCCCCAGTAAGAGATGAACAGAGCAGGAAGCAGTAGAAAACAATTATAAAATCAACCTATGATAAGGATCAGGAGAGAAATGTAACATCCTTTTATTGTTTAAATCGCCATTGCAAAGCACGGTGTTCAACGCCAAAAATCCTGGGCCTCGAGCTTTAACAAGTAAGAAATGTTTGAAGGCATTGTGCAAAAAGCATGTAACCAGCTACAATCAGATAACATCAACAGACAAAATAGCACAACATCTTAAACGCTGCAGAGAGGGAGTGCTACAAGTTGTTTCCAAACCAGTACGTAATCATATGTAAAGCAAAGAGTTAATAAACGTGAATTGCACTGCACAGTACATAGCCCCTGCTTCATGCTTGATGTCATTTTCTATTCATCGCTCTCTTAAAAGCCCTTTTAAAACAGTTGTTACTCACTCGAAATCTGTCTTCCCAGGAAGTCTGCAAAAGCTGAATCATCTCTAAAGGCGAGCCTAGTTCAGTGATGGTCGTCAGCGTGTCTGGGATGTCATTGCTATCTTGGTAGCAATAGCCGTAGAGCTGGAAAAAATCACAACCAGGCAATATCAGTGTAATGTACCTCAGCATGTTTTTACTTTTCTCTGTGGATGAGGTGCAAAGTAAGCATTTCTTACAAGGCTCTAAGCTCTACACATTGTATTGCCTCGAAGTTGCCCCCCAGTAGCTTTTGTGCCCTCTCATTTGAGGAACACTCCCTTGAAACTCCCAAATTAGCTAGCAGCTTCTCCTCTGGGCGTCATAAAGCACAAGGCCAGCGAAGTAACCCCTGCATACCTCTCTCTCTGTACAGGATCTCTTCTCGGTGAAATGTTGAAGAAAAAAAAAAATTAAAATATCCATGAATGCACAAACAGAATTCTGTTTGAGGAAAATTAGTTTAGCCTAAGTAAGACTGATTTGCTGCTTAAAAGACATCACAAAATAACTTTTAATGACATTTCCAGTAGGACTGCTGTTTGTGCTTTGAGTAGCAATGTGTATTTCAATGACACAATAGCTTGAAAAGCAATTGAAATGCCAAAACTTATCTTTTCCCAGCCAGAAATTGCCTCTCGCTATACTTGATGGACTTTTGCGTGCAGTATCATTAAGGAAGGGCAAATACTCCAAAACATGATCTTCATGTAGCTTCTGCAGTTTAAAAGCATTTAAATGGCAATTTCAGCTACGCTCCAACTCCTTCTTGTATTTGCTTTCCAAGGACATTTGAATGACTGATTTCCACTTGCACAAATAATTGCACGAGAGGAATATTTAAAGATTGTGGAGAAGAGACGTCTTGCTTTATATGGAGTGGGACAATGTCTGACAGGGCTGGGGGACAGGCTTTTACAAACTCCCTGCCAAGCCCTGGCAGAGAGGCAGTTAAATGTGCCTGATAAGGATCCGATTGCAACTTTCCAGCCAGAACAGCATGCACATGAAATAAAACTAAACGTAATCTCTGCCCGCCCTCCGCCCCCCCACCCAGGTCAAATAAACCATACAGTAAAAAGGGTCTGCGTGAAAACGCAGCTTAAAAAAATGCTGCTATTCCTCTACTGCCTTGCCCTGAGTAATCTGACTTTTCAAACCTCTCTTTAGTTTAAAAAGCCCTGGGAAGATGACAAGGGTCTCCCCTGAGCCAAGGGGACTCGGATACAGCCCAGGCTCACGCAGAGTAGAACGGGACAAATCCTAATTCTCCAGGAAAGCAGAGCCCCGGAGTAGTGAGTGCCATCATCGCTGGAAGGAGTGGGGTGAGGCTGAACACAACCCCTGCGAGCTGATCCCAGTACCAAGCACATTCTTATGCCTTGTGACCCTCCCAGGAAAGAAAAGCAAAGACCAGGCTAAAGTCAGCAAATACGGGATTTGTTATGAACCCGACTGCTAGCTCTGACCGTAGCTGTCTACACTTAAAGGAAAAAAGGGTGCCAAAAAATGTAAAAGAAGTAAACAATTTTTCTTGTTGGTGTAAAAATGGCACTGTATTTCAAAACAGCCGCTTAAACACGGACACTAACCTAAACAAAAAAAGAGCTAGAAGATTTTATTTTAAAACATGCCGAACATTTTGGCATCGATGCACAACAGAGAATTTGTGAGACATGACGATATGAACGTTTGAAATAGGGAAAGGGATCATTCTCTTTACTGCCACAACCATGACAAGGATTGAAACAGCAATAATTTCTTATTCTAGAGCCATTCACACCGGACTTGGGTTTGATCTTTAGCGTCTGTGCCTCCACTGCTGTGCAGCTTATTGACAGGAGTTAAATCTTCGTGTGCTGCAAACTATCTTAGTGGATCATGTCAGCACAATTCTGTTTAAGCCTTCTAAACTAGCAAAAAATGAAATTAGATGAAAATATTTAATTCATTTAATATTTAAATATGTCTTTTCTTAAAGACGAGCTGGATTCTGCAGTTCTTAACAGGTATTTCATACCCGCCTTGTGTGGGGGCAGACTAAGAAGGCAGGATGAAACTCGGTAGGTTTGCAAAGCCCTACTTCTCCTGTCAAAAGCTAACATCTGCTTCTGTGTCATCTGCAGAGTTCAGTGCTTGTCTTTAGCACAGTAATACTTCCCCTTAGGGAAAAAGCCATAAGGGAAATCAGCGAGCAATACAGACTGGGGAATGGCAGTATCGCAGTAACTGTTGGGTCACAGTAACTCTGAATACAAAAAAGGTAAGAGTCTCCATTGGGCGTTCTCACTGCTTGTGAAAACCACTCCAGGAACAGAAATACGGAAGACCATCAGCAATTACACATTCATTTGATTATAAAAACATAATACATGCATATCTGTACACACAAATTATTGAGAAATTAGTCTTAGTAGCTATTTGTGTGCGTATGAACTCACAAGTAGAAATTAATTACAGTACCTATTTTACCCCAATCCATGAATGCCAATAGTAATAATAATGATTTAGAATTGTTCTCAGAGCGCTGAACTTTGCTCAAAAGTAATTCTTTCATTTTAGTATTCAATTTGTACCTTGGCAAAAGTCTTCACTGCCCGAGTATCTGAGCATTCAGTGTGTATTTTACCATATTAATGCTCATTTAATTGCTCCAGTCATTGTGGAAGCTTAAATTACCTGATTCAGTTTTGGTTTTATACTAAATTGCTTTTTACTCGCACAGGAAAATTTTCTTGCACGAGTACTGCTATACTTAATCTTACAAGCTAAAAAACACAGTACTGAGCAAGTTAGTATAGGTCTAACTCAAAAAATACATAATCTAACCTGAGCTCCTTACTGCTTTTACTTAAATGAAACCTCTCCAGATGCAGCGTTATTACATAATTATATAGAGTTATAAAAGCACAGAAGTCTGCTATATAAAGGATTTATTGGGCTGCATTTATACTTTCCTAAATGAACTCCTGAAACTAAATGCAAAAATGCACATGTAATTACATGGCCATATTTGTATGTGCAATTACCATGATTACAAACTGGGCATGTCCCAACAGCCAGTTAAGCATCTAAAAAGGTTACATTCATCCCCTGCTGATGAACCACCACCCAGCACACAGATGTTACAAAATACAGAATATATATAGATGCAAAATATTCCAAGGCAGTAATTCTTAGGCCTTTCGTTTAAGAAGCCATCTTATTAAGACGCAGAAACAAGTACAGAGGTACTACCCAAAATACTTTTTTTTTTCCCCTTCCTTTTTGTTTTTGTCCAATCCATTTTAAGGTCTGAAATGAGACAAAATGTTTTGTATTCCCAGACAGTGAAGTAAGGAGCAGATAGCTGGATGCATACATTAACAAGAAAAATAACCACACGGGGAAACTGAATATATCTGGAGGCAAAAGATGAGCCAAAATATCTCCTCTATCTGAAATTCTATTAGGTTGGACATCATTCTCAGCGTCACAAAGCTACACTTCAGATATATTCAAGAATGATGGTTTTCATACGCCTTTTCAGCATGGTTCCAATTAAACGAATGGAAAGAAATACAATCCCACATCTTTTTGCTATCTCCAGTCGCTGCATTTAAACGCCACCCCAATGTATTCTTGTGTAGAATCTAATAGCAAACAGTCACAATATCGGGATGCCTTTCTGTCTGTTTAGGAGAACGTATGCCAGATACGAAATGTTGACCTGTTCTCACATCGTGCGCCGTAATTCGTTTCCAGCAGCCCTGTTTACCGAATCCTTCCCTCACTGTTTGGATTTTCTCAGTCATAAAGGCTGGGTCCTGCAATAGTTGTTAGGCACCCAAAACTCTCCCTGAGCTCAGCAGCTCTCGGGCATGCTGGGCACACAGGATCAGCCCCCAAGAAGATTCTTGGACTGTAGGAGCTCCCGTCCCAGCAGCCGGGCAGTTCACCTCCCATTACAATGCCCTTTTACTGCAAATTGTGGGGACAGAGGTGCCCCTTTCAGAGGGGCTGGGGTGGCAGGGGAGGGCGACAGCAGAGGTCAGCCCCTACACAAAAGCTGACAAGCTTACTGAATAAAGACACAAAATAAAGGAGCTTATTAAGCTGTCATCAGCAGGGTAAGTCTGTGCAAACAACGGGCGCTCCCATGTTCGCATAGGCACCCTAGATGGATTTTCAGGAAAGTAAATGTCAAGCCAGAACCTCTGACAGTGTTACATTTCATTTATCGAGGCTGCTCAGTCAGGAACGGTAGGACCGGCCACCATTCCCAACTGGGGCTCCGCTGGCTCGACTCTGCCCCGCTGCCGGGCTGCAGCAGAAATGCCGCCCTGGCTACTGGAGGGCAGAATTCCTCCCGTACAGATCATGCGGTTTCCCTAAAAATTACAACACGCTGTGAATCTTTTTCTCACTAGTTTTTAGCCCTTAACGTTCACAATCTTTAGATTTTCTTTACAACCACAAAAACTGGACAATTCACCCTTTTTTCATTAATGAAGATGAGATTTCCATGAATCTGGGAACAAGCGAGAACACTATTACCAGCTATAATATAAGTGACAGGCTCAACTGCAGTACCCCAGAATTGATTTCTAGAAACCTAATTCTCTTCTCTTTTAATTTGGACTTGCCCAAAGTCACCACAGTACAGCCTAACTGCTGCCCACATTAGAAAACTGCAATTAAAAAAAAAAATAAATCTCACTATTATGAAGAGCAACAGTAGTCAACACTTGCCGCAGCCTTTAATTTCCAAAATACATGGACACAGGGTTACCTAATGAAAACTGGTTGTGCTGAGATTGTATTTTGTAGTGACTTGGTGCCATGGGGAAATAAAAAACTCACTGACACTGGTGGCCACTTGTTGAGCCATTTGTTTGAGAAGCCAGAACAGCATATTTTAGAAGTCCTGGCAACTTTATTGCTATCAAACTGAATGTAGCATGCCTTTATGCAACCAATCCTTGGATTCACCTTTCTTTCCTGGAGCACTGAGACAGCCCCTGCGAGAGCAGGAACATACAGCACTGCCTGATGCAGCTACAATTTACCAGTATGTGATCTGAGATGTTTACATCACTCTAAAATCTAGACACCCCTCAGGTTTTAAATATTTCCTTTCACCAAAGGCAGTTTGTACATATATACAAACAAACGTGTATAAGTATGCATTTATATATATATGTGTATGTGCTTCTATATATTATATATCTAGATATAATATATACACATAGAATTTGTATCTATATTTGAATAAGTTTACATATATGTAAGTATATATTAAAATATTCTTATATATTGCCATACCTACTCAGCATCTGCAAACCTGTTAAGATGTATCTCCCTGGAAAAAGGATGGGGTCCCTGAAAGGCCTAGCCTCCCTGCTACAGGATATATAGGGATGATGCATGAGAAGTGAATCGATTCTCCTCTTTCAAGTCTAGCAATCAAGCCCTGCCAAGTGCTGAGCTTTAATGGAAGACTTCCATACAGGGCATCCCCAGCTCCACGCAGAACCTTTCAAGAACAGGACCAAAACCATGTGCTGAAAGCTGTAGGGCAGGATTTCCTCTGCTGACGGATATTGGAACCGACAGCAAGCAGTGGGTAATTTGAATATGAAGCTCTAAATTCACAGTTCTGCCTAGGCTTTTATTTATAAATGCATTATCACGATTAGCACTTAAACTCCAGAAGAGCTAGAAGGCACAAGAATCTCATACCTGGCACTGTTACTAAACATGGAAGTTCATTAATAGAAAAATTGGAACCTATTATTTAGAAACACACACACATGTATATCTAACCATATCTATCAGTATATCCACAGAGGACCACAGATATCTCCGTATATTTTATATGTGTGTGTGTATATACATCCATATATACCTGCTGTTAGGACACATATTATGTTGGCTATAATCTTAACATTATCTCCCTTTTGCTCTCCCTGCTTTCCGTACACTCTGAAGTGGAAAATTCTTCCACTAAAAACATTTACAGCACTTTGAATTTGCACTGCACAAGCTCAAGGCCCAACCCTGCAAATATTTAGTCACACAAGTAGCCTACTCTTGTAAAGCCTTCCAGTGAAGACAAATAGATCACTCATCCAACCATGATTTCAGTGGGAATGGGCTGATATCACTGGAGACACAGTTCATTATCTTGTAAACCGCCAGACCAGAAGCTCCCCTGACCTCCGTCCACAGGACTGCATTCAGTTCCACCGCACCGTCAGATTAACCCTTCATTATAACGTGATTTTGCACTACAAGACTATCAAATAAACTCCGTGCATTGCATGTTTGGAAAAGCTTGACTTGGATTCGTTAGACTCATCTGTATAATTCTTATTTCTTAGGTACCTGAGCCATATCATGGTGTATTTTATCATGGAGAGCTTTAAAATAAGCTTGGAGTCAACCTGCAGCTACATGGGCCAAGAAAAAAGCAACTCTTTCCAAACTATGTTGTTCCAAATTTAGCCTAAAAGAATATAAAACATCCACATTTGGTGTCTACTACGTAAACTGAGTGGTTCAGTTGAGTGTGACAAAAAATAACAACTCCTTTAAAATTAGTCTAGAGTCAATATTAGTATTAGCATAGTGCCTGTGAGAACTAGTTCTTGTCAAGTTTTTCATGGCCATCACAGTAATGAAAAACTGCAACAGGGAGTTAGATGCTACAAGGCACCAATCTGAACCACCAGATGACTGTGTTGGCACAAAAATCCAGGAAAAAGATCTTTAAAAACCACAGTTTGTATATCTGGCACAGACACTTCACAAACCGGGGCTCACGCCTGAGCCCACCAATGCTCTCTGTGTCCTGTGCAATGAGCAGAGGGCCAGAGGAGCAGAACTCTGCCAGCACTGGTGTGCCCTTCCAGCGGTCATCTCCTGCCTCCTTGGCTACCCACCACAGCCCTTCCCAAGCATGGCTGCAGGGAGAAGACAGAGTGTGTACAAAAGGGCCACAACCATCCCTTGCAAGGATAGGATGCCACAGAATAGAACACAGAACAGAATACAGAACAGAATAAATTCAGTTGGAAGGAACCTGCAACGATCATCTAGTCCAACTGCCTGACCACTTCAGGGTTGATCTAAAGTTACAGCATGTTATTAAGGGCATTGTTCAAATGCCTCTGAAACGCTCACAGGCTTGGGGCATGAACCACCTTTCTGGGAAGCCTGTTCCAGTGTCTGACCACCCTCTCTATAAAGAAAAGCTTCCTAATGTCCAGTCTAAACCTCCACTGACGCAGCTCTGAACCACTCCCACGCGTCCTATCACTGGATACCAAGGAGAAGAGGTTTACCTACTCCACACCTGGGGGGAGTGGAAAGTGAAAAGAGAAGCTCTAAAAACCCCATGTGCCTTCCCCTGCAATTCCGCCTTGGTCATAACAAGTTTCAAGGCCAGGATATTCATGGGGTGGAGTGACCTTGTTGACTCACTGTCTCTCCTATGAAAAAAGGCAAGCAGCAAAGGAGAACTTGATCATACCCACAGCGTCCCGTGGTGACCACTGATCTCCCCAAGCCACTGCACAGCAGTACTGGGCTCGCCTGAAGGAAACTGGATGAGGTTTTAAGTCATCAGTTCCCATAAAGGAGGCAGAAATTCAAACCAGAGTCTTCTGGAAAGATTTACATGGCACATAAAACTGAGAAGCAATCACAGAAATCATTCAACAAATTATTGGGATTAGTTTTATGAATGCTGCTTTCAAAAGGACGGACGACGTAGCCCCGTTAACTTACGTGATGGCACGTGCCTGCTGGAAAGCTGTTCCTGCCAGCAGCTTTGCAAGTCGAACACCCTCCGCCATCCCATGCAATTCAATGAGAAAAAACCGTTATTTGGCAACTCCAGCATCAAGCCATCCAGCTTGCCTTCCAGTGACACGAACGATTAGAGCTGGTTTGCAATTGTATCAGCCCCGCGCTTCCAGCAGCTCTGGAGCTCTTGTTAACAGATCCTTTCTTCACTCTTAAAAGTGCAGGATAACATCTGGGCCTTTTGGGAAGCAGTCTCGCAATAAAGAAGCACTTTGTGTAATTCTTCTTTCCTCGCCAAACCGCATCTGTCTGCTCTCTCTGCCCTTCTCCACTCCACCCCGAGCTCCTTGGGGCTGTGGGGACATCTGTTAGCAGCAGCAAGCTGTCTCCACCGAGCCATCAGTAGGTGGCACTGCCTGCTTTTTCCTCTCCACCCACACCAATGGCCAATCCTGACACCTTACATGGACCACCACTAACTATTTCGAAGGATGCTCAAGTGACTCGGATGCCTCATCTCCTGCAAGGTGCGTCTATAGGAACGCCAAGGAATGGAGTGACCGGGACAAAGGCGCAGCTCCATCTCTGCTCCCCGGGGGTGGCAGCTTTACCAGAGGAACAAAGTGGCGAGTGAGGGGTGAGAACCTCTCCTGCCACCTCACCAGGATTTGGCAAGTTCATCTGCCCCGGACCTGAAGCTCCTCTGATCCTAAGGCCAGTTAAACTGGTCTTGCACCATGTGTGGCGGTTTCATTCATCTTTAGCCAAACTGTCCCAAGGGCAGCTCAACTCTGTTACTTTAGAAAATCATTAGAAAAAATTACCAGCCTAAAAGGACTCTCCTACTTGCAGCAATCCTCCCCGGATGACTGCATGTGGAGCACATAGTCAGAACCCTGCCAGCTCCACCCCCACCCTAGAAAGTTAATTCTCATTAGATGCTTTGTTTTGAAAGGTTTGCTCCTAAGAGCTGTGAACCTGTGCTGCCCCATCCAAAACTTTCCATGCAATCACCCACCAGCCGGTACCAGCCATCGCAGCACCCTGCGCAGGGCAAGCAGTTCCCAAAGCTGCCAGGGTCAAACTCCCGCAGCGGCAGATCCAGGCTTGTTGCTGGGAGTCCTGCACTACTGCCCTCCCCAAGGGCATTGATCCAAACCCCACCACAGGGAAGAGGTCCCTGAGTAGCTGTTTCCACCATGGCTTCATCTCCCCTTCCCCCTTCCTTTCTGTGAAAAGAACAGTGGATTCATGCAAGAAGGATGGGGAGGGACCAGACCTCCAAGAGTCCATAGGCTCCCCATGCAATAGTATTTGCAGTGGAAATTAATTGTATATTGACTTTCTTCAGTCTACTTCCACCTGGAATACGCAAACCCGTACAAAGCTTTATTATTTTAATTCTCACATTAAAATTAGAACTGCCCTATCCTGCTGGCTATGCATATGTGTAGTGAAACCATCAGAGTAAAACGACGGTTAATTATCACACGTAAAGAAAAGAAAAGCTTATTTAAAAGTAGGTATTTTAGGATATCATGCCCGGCTAGCACGTCTTAAGTCTACTGAAATAGTCAACAGCAAGTGATGTACAGTATTGGTTTATTCAGTGCATTTTCTAAGTGATAAATGTTCTCCCTGCAATCGTGACCATTTAAAACCAACCAATAAAAAAGAAAAATACTGGTGCTAACCGAACCAATTCAGACAGAACCTGCTTTGACTCATAACTCAGATAGTGACTTCTAATGCTGAAGCCACCCCACTATTTCATCTGCGTGTTTTAACTGGACACCGAAGCCAAATAAGCCAAAATGAAACGGCCTTGTCTGGGCAGTCAGTAAACCAGACTTGAATCTGTTAGCAGCTGGTGCCTTCCACACTGCCTTCAGACAAAGCCAACCCTTCTCCTGGAGCTTTCGTGTTTGTGCCTAAGACAGCGGCAGCTCCTCCCTAGATGGGTCGTTGTGAACCCACACCAGAAGCCCCGATAAATAGACGAACAGCCGCCGCAGAAGTAAACTGGCACTTCTGCAAACCCCTCCTCTTCAGCAAATGCAAAGGAGGAAAGAATTCCTCCAAAGAACCGATTATGCCCCATGAATGGCAACACCCTTAACTCTGATACTCCAGGGCTATAATTACATTATTACAGTAAATCAAACATTCCCTTTGTGTCTTTACAATCGCGCTCATTGTCTGAAATTAACTGCAAATGGTTTGATTTTCTTTTCCTCCTCCAACACGGGCAGGGAGGAATTAAGAGCACTCTAAATCATCTTCCTCCCCACCAGAAAGCAGGGAGAGGCGGGATTGGGGCAGCAGCACTCGAGGAGCGGCGGCGCGGGGGGAAGGCAGGGATCAGGCACCGGGTTTGACACACAGCGACTGCCGAGCAATTACCGGGCCGCTAAATCCTCCGTCACAATAAACCAGTGACCCAGTTCCCTCTCTTCCCCAGTGCCTGTCATTATAAAATCAGCCTTAATGAACCAGCCCTCTCTCCCCGGCCCCGCAGCAAACCTATTTGCACTGCAGCCTGCACCTGCCCTTCCCAGCGCCTGC